ACAATCTGACTACAAAAAACAATATGAGAAAAAATACACAATCAGATTCAGATAGATAAAAAAATACTCGACGATGTCAGATTCATTTCAACGAATGCAAACACAGAGATTGGAATAGTAAACTCAGAGTCTGAACTTGGATCATTCGACAAACATGAACTCGCAATCAGATTCAATCGAATGAACGCACACAATCAACCAACATAAACCCACAATCACATAAAGACACAAATAAACAAAATTGTGCAAACACAGATAATAGAAACACATGCATAATAATAGAAGACGAAGAGAGAAGATGATGAAGAAGAATACGCGAGAGTGAGAACTGGCCATCGTATACATGCGTGTCATATCCAAGTTAGAATCATATCATTTTCTTATAATATATTAAATATATAAAGTATTTGATGAAAATATCCTACCCGCATCTCAATCTAAATGTTTTATTCCCATACATACAAAAACAAAATAAACTTGTGGTATTATAAGGTGGTGTTGATATAGATACAAAAACAGAATAAATTTAAAAATCTAACAATAATACACACGAAACAAATATGCATCTAACACTATTATTAATGCGACAAAAAAAAACTATATGATATTTTTGAATGTTAATCGATTAGGGATTAATTGTAAATAAAATTCAGATTTTTCCTATAGATGGAACTCATAAATCATATATATATATATATATATATATATATATATATGTATATATATAATATGCGCGTGTGTGTCAATCAAATCATTCCCTTTTGTATGTGTGGTTAATTATAAATTGAGAATATTTATGAAAAAGCCCAGACAAGATAAACCCAGCTGGGAAACAACAATGTACGGTGAAGAAGAAAAAGAAGAAGAGGAGGAGGGAAACTTACCGAGAGAGATAGATGCGCCGAGAGGGAGAGAGAGAGAGCCACATACAACAATCGAGCGTGATGAGGTGATGACAGAAGAAGAAGAAGAAGGAGGAGGAGGAGGAGGAGGAAGAACACTTGTAAGTTCATGAATTAGTTGAGGAGGAGGAGGAGGAGGAGGAGGAGGAGAAGGAGAGAGTCACTGGAGAAAGCCAATGATCTAGTTCAAGAGACAAACATGAGAGATTGAGAGAGATGGGCATCGTGGAAACAGAGTGGAGAAGAGAGAGAGCCGCTAGGGATTAGGATTTTTTTTTAATTTTATTTATCTGTTTCACAAAAAAATTAAAAAAGAAAAATAAATGGGCTTTTCAAACCCGGTCCTAAACCCGATGGGCTTAGCCCGGTTAACCCCGAATCCAGTTTTCAGCCCGGCCCGAAAGCCCGATTTTTTTTGGGCCTATAATTTTAAGCCCTAACCTGGTTTTTTTCGGGCGGGTTCGGATCGGGTTTTGGGTTTTGGGCCCAAATTGACATCCCTATCTAAAAGTGTTTGGACGCACTCTAAACGTGTTTGGACGCACTCTAAGTGTGTTTAGATGCACTCTAAGTATGTTTGGATGAACTCTATGTGTGTTTGGACGCACTCTAAGTGTGTTTGGATGCACTCTAAACATGTTTCGACGCACTCTAAAAATGTTTGAATGCTCTCTAAATATGTTTGGATGCACTCTAAGTATGTTTTGACGCACTCTAAACATGTTTGGATGCACTCTAAAAGTGTTTAGACGCACTCTAAACGTGTTTGGATGCACTCTAAGTCTATTTGGATGCTCTCTAAACATGTTTCGACGCAACCTAAAAATGTTTCGACGCAATCTAAACATATTAGGATGCACTCTAAACGTGTTTGGAGGCACTCTAAACGTGTTTGGACGTACTCTAAGTGTGTTTGGATGCACTCTAAGTATGTTTGGATGCACTCTAAACATGTTTCGACGCACTCTACAAATGTTTGGATGCTCTCTAAACATGTTTGGATGCACTAAACATGTTTCGCCGTCGTCGGGAAGCACTTCCGCCTTCGCGATCTCCCTTCGTCTTCTCCGTTCTCCGTTCTCGCTCTCCATTCTCGAGACACGCGCTCGTCTAACCCTCTAAATAGCCAAATCAACGCGAGAGCTAGGGTTTCATTAACCCTGATCCAAAACGCCACGTTTCGGTTAGTAACTGAAACCTCCTTCTGAAACAGAGGGTTATCTTTTCTGCCAACAGGTCGTGAGGCCCAACAATCTCCACCTTGGTGGAGAAAGAGAAACCGAAAAGAAAAATAAACCTAGTGGGATTCGTCGTTTCCAGCACCGATCGACTTTCGTCGATCCTTCGACTTTAGTCGGAATTTAAAGCATATACTTACCTGACTTGCCTCACTTACCTGATGCACCGGAGTTAGTCACATGTCACCCTGATCCTGATGAAGCTCTCGTCAATGACTCCTCAAGGCCTCGTCGCCTTATTCCGCCACCGATCATGCTTATCCAAACCTGAAACACTCGGTAAACGTGTTAGAACGTTCACACCGATAAAACTCGAACCGAAGTCCAAACACACGTCACCCTATCGGCGAACGCTACCCTCGGTTATATGACTCCCTAGACCGTCTAACTAACCTCCCTGGTAAAGTTCGAGACTTCACCTGCTAGCAACTCGATGATTATACCCGACGTCTACCCATCTCCTAAGTCTATCCCGACTTCCCTCGAGACTAACCTGAGTCATACTCCCGAACCCGCTAGATACCTAGCCCAGGATCCCCATAGAGTCTACACTACCTATGAGTATGCGACTTCTACCCTCGGACCCTATCCTTCCAACTAGGATCCCACGGTTTTGTCCCGTGAAGATGTTCCTAGTCATCTACGAATGCTCCACCGAGAATGAGACACGTGAGTGCACGTGCTCCACCTCGAGAGGAAGTGTCCTAGCGCCAACTAGGGGTGGGCAAAATTACCCGAAAATTGGGTACCCGTCCCGACCCGAGGGTCGGATACCCGAAAATCGGGTACCCGTTATATTATGAGATAGAGATCGGGTTTTAAAATATGTAAAACCCGAAATTCGGGTTCGGATTCGGGTTTACACTTTCGGGTCGGGTAATTACCCGCGGGTACCCGAATAATAAAAAATAAATATTATTTATTTTAAATTTTTAATATTAATAAAAATATTTATCAATTATCTTGAATTTTTATATTTTTATATATATATATAAACTATTATTTTATTAATCTAATCATTTTAAATATAAATATTTTAAATTATTTTCATTTAATTTTATGAATTATTTGTATAAAATTTATAAATTTATAATTTTTTTTAAAAAAAATAATTAAAAGTTTTCGGGTTCGGGTATCCGCGGGTACCCGAAAATTATCTCACGAGTAATACATTTCGGGTACCCGAAAATTCGGGTTCGAGTTCTGGTTTCAAAATATGTTATTTTTCGGGTTCGGGTTCGGGTTCGGGTTTGGGTACCCTAAAAATCCCGAGTACCCGACCCGTGCCCACCCCTAGCGCCAACCTACACCAACTCTACCCGGTGAAATCCGACACCTCCCACCTCTCACCATCTCTTGAGCATCCTACCCGAAGAAGCTCCACCTAAATGTGGAGACCTCACCTCCTGACCTACCACCGAGAACCGAAGCAACTTCGGTTACTCCTCCGAGGTCAATTCGTCCTTCTACCTCGGACTCTCCCTTCCTCGTCATCCGGGATCTACAAATCCTCCATGTAGTATCCCTACCTACCCGCGGAACTAATCACTCCACCTGGTCCTTAACCTTTTCCTACAACCCGATTTCTCGGGTTTGCCCGAGATCCCTAGTCCTTCCACCATACCCCATTTCGGGGTATACCGAGTTAGAAAATCTAACTCCATCATCCTAAGACGATAAGACAAGAGTCTAAAACTGACTCTACCAGGAAGAGACTTAACCGACACTAGAAGTGATGTAACATGACATGAGAGATGAGACCGAATCCTAGAGGACTTAACCCTAGGTATATTTCTACCTAGTCGTGCTTGACACGCTCTAACCCTAGTCTATTGGTCCTAAACCTAGGTACGTTTCTACCTACTCAGACCTACTAGACTAAGAGAACATGACCTGATTGGACTTAACCTAGGTACTCAACCTACACCGATCTAACGAACTTTAAACAAAGCCTAACCGGACATCACCCTAGGTACATCTTACCTAAACGGATTTAATAGACTTCAGATCAGACCTGATTGGACTTAACACAAGGTATATTTCTACCTAACCGACCTCTCAAACACTCGTACAAACCTGATTGGACTTACCCTAGGTATAATTTTACCTAACCGATCTATTAGACTCGGAACACAACCTACCTTAAGACCTGATTACATCTAACCAGACCTAACTTAAGGCTAACCTGACCTGATTACGTCTAATTAGACCTATAACACCGAGTCTACATGGCCCCCAACAAAGAGGGTTATCTTTTCCGCCAACGGGCCGTGAGGCCCAACACATACACACACAAATATAAGCACAGATATACAATACATATATATATATACATACATCTATTCAAATATTATACATATATCCATATACATTTTTTTTGGTATGATATATATCCATATATAAAAATATAGATAGATAGATTTTTTTGTATCGACCGGATGTTCGATAGAAAGTGACTCATGCCCTGATACCAAGAACCTTTAGTCATTTTTTATAATCGTAACCTTTTTAACATATGACATTAAATATACCCCCACTCTTTTCTGATATTAAATTTATCCCACTCTTTTCTCAATACGTTACCAATGTATTACTTACCCCCACTCATTTTATTATTTATTTCATATTTTATTACAATTATTAATACATTAGTTATGTATATTTACTCATTAATTTAATGAGTTTTTAAATGATAAATAAAATTTAAAAACATTACCACATGAATGATGATGTGGAGATGAGATTGCTTCAACACAATTCTTCGCATCAAACTTTTAATATATATAGATTTATTCGTAATACATCGAAATATATTTCTTATTATCTTTCCTTTTTACAAAGAGGAGTCGCGAACAGGGAGAACCAAAGCAAACATTAAATCACCAATAGACGCATATATCATTCTTGATCATACAAAAACCACATGTATCTATTAAAAATATATATATATATATATATATATATATATATATATATATATATTACATAACCAAAACGCACCCAATGTTTCTCATAACATTATTACATAAACCATAACAAACCGGATTTTGTCACATTGGACCGCCCGACCCGAAGATTCAGGCTGTCTAGTTCTTGAACCACACGACGTTGTCCTGAGGGAGGAAGTGGCAGATAGGGACAGTCCCCGGCTCGACGTGGAGGACTTTGAAAGCCAAGTGGTTAGGGTTCCAAGCCGACGTGTCCTTATGGCATACGACCACCGCCTTCACTCTCGTCCCGTCCGCCCCCTCGAGTGGAACCACGTATGCACTCGTGGCCCGTGTCTTGTGGCAGTAGTACACTGTGAATGGAAACTTCTGCTTGTGACACACTACCAAGTTGTCGCTCTCCGACACTTTCTTTGCCCCTCCTGCCGAGATCGCGTACTTCTGCATCGGTCTGTTCTCTTTCTCGACCTGTGAAGTGGTTCGTGTTTCGCCATTGGTTACAAAAACGAATGAAATTAGATGTTATCAGATGTATGTATACGTTATATATATATAACCTGCCCTAGTTCCGAAATCAGCACCAAAATTTGTAGGTAATAAGCAACAAGTGTTACCAAATAACCCACAACTTGGTAACATATGATATGTTTCTATTCAAGATTACGTATATGTATATATATATGAATTACCTCAGTAGAAATAGCTCGGACACGATCTTTCCCGAGCTTGGAGACACAAAAATCCACCATAGACTCCAACGACGTGGCGCAGTACTTCTCCTCTCCGCTAATCCCTCTCCCTTCACACTCCTCGACCGTCTTCTTCATCATCTTTGCTTCATCTGAACCGGGCTCGACACCGAACCGGTTCAAGACCTCCGAGAACCTCTCTGATCCAAAGGGCACCGTTTCAGACACTCCACGTGGCAAGAACACCGCCCCCCCGCCGTAACCGTCGTCCGTACGACCGAACCTTACGGTCATGTCTTGTCCGGGCCTCAGGTCCTTCTCCAAGAAGAACATAGCCACGTTGGGATCGTCGTGAAGCTGGCTCTCTTTGGCTGCGTAGTTGTAGACGAACGGGTTCGGACCCGGTTTGACCCCGACGTAAACCGGTTTGCCCTTGTGGCGCGTGTGTACGGTCACTCCTCCTTTGCCGACTCCGACGTCGGTTCTCTTACCTGGTTTTCCGGTGTGGACTCCCACGCCGCCTCCGCCGCTGTAATGTCCACCGCCTCCGACGCTGACGTGTGTCCCGCCGCCTCCAGGTTTTCCGGTATCAACGTGGACCCCACCCTTTCCGACATCCACATGGGATCCTCCTCCGCGGGGTTTTCCGGCGTCTACGTTGACGCCGCCCTTTCCGACGGTAACGCTGGTGCTCTTGTCGTCGTCGTCCATGAAATCTGCGTTAGAGATAACGCGGCGTTTTGGTTTTGTCAAAAGAGATATCGCCGAGGTGAGAACTTTTTTAATATGGTTATAAAGGTATGTGACGCTGGACTATTTTTTTTTAGATATACACATATTAATCTCCTAAACTATACGCCATAAAATTATAAAAGAAAAAAGTTAAAGCTACTTGATCCTTAAAATTTGTTCAAAAATATTATGTAATTTTCTTTAAAAAATGAAATGGTCCCAGAAAAAAAATTCTACGTGGTCTGTAACTCCATATATATTTCCTTATAAATGTGATAAATGAGTATATAGAGCTTTGAAGAATCTGCATAAACCATCTATCTCCCTTGTAACCCATATCAAACGCGCGTTTTCTTTTTTCTTTTTTTTTGGTTAAACGGTAAACTATCAAACGCGCGTTTCCACGATCAGATCTTTTTTTTTTTTTTTTGATAACTGGGTAATCCCAGGTCCAAAGGGCCCAGACTAATCCCGACCCACACGCACAACCGGCACCACACGTGTGGGATGTGAAGCACCCGAAAGTGGTCGGAGGGGAAATCTCCATACCCTGAGTGTTGAACCCACGACCTCTTGTTCAGGAAGTGGGCTCTCAAACCAACAGAGTTGGGGAGATCCCTTCCACGATCAGATCTTAATTATATATATGAGATATAGGGTGAAACGAATGAAAAAAAAATCCGTACAACTTTGGCAGCAGTGTGACCAAATCATAATGGACATCAAAGGCGAGTTAGTACGATTACTTAGGACAAAAAAATAAACTCACCGGACTTCAAAAGATCCACGAGAGACTTAGGCATCCGAGTGTTTGGCAAAACCGCGTTCCAATAACGCTCTGGTGGTAACGCAGCACGGCTCACAACCATCATGAGCTACAGAACGCAAACGCAGACGCAGTCGCAAAAAATTACCCATATGTACACAAAAGCTAATAAAACATGATTTAAGCTTATTTTAGTTACCGCGAGTGATGCGAGGACGTGAAACACACGAACCGCCATTTTCAAGCGATCAGTACAGACCGTATGTACGTACGTATACAGATACAATACGAGTGAAGTTTGTGAATGTGACGATCGGGTTTGAGGGCAGAATGAAGGGAGGATAGAGATTTTTATAAAGGGGGAGAGCGTACACTATAGAGAAATTGTGTTGTTTCTCTCTCTTCTCCGACCGGTCTATTTTGTGCCAATTTATTACATCTAACTGCCACTGGCTTTGGTTCTTTTAATGCAGTTTTGTACACGTGTCTCAATATACATCCATATTCTATTTACGACGTCGCTTCATAGTACCGTAGATAGATACGCTTGAGATATTGTGTGTGTATATATTATAGGGGTGGCCAATTCGGGTTTTGGTTCGAGTTCGGTTCGGTTATATTCGGGTTCGGTTATTTCGGTTATAGAAAAATTATAACCATTCTGTTTTTATATAAATTTCGGTTCGGTTCGGTTCGGTTATTTTTCGGTTCGGGTTTGGTTCGGTTTTGGTAAAAAGTTCAATTTTTCAAAGAAATTGTCGGTTATTCTCTCGGTTTTTTCGGTTATTTTTTATTCGGTTCGGTTCGGTTTCGGTTTCGGTTTTTCGGATTTAAGGAAATCATAACCGTTCGGTTTTGATGTCGGGTTCGGTTCGGGTACGGTTATATCTTATTCGGTTCGGTTCGGTTCGGTTATTCGGTTAATAACCGAAATGGCCACCCCTATATATATATATTAGAAAATCTGATGTAATTAAACGAATTTGTTATTAACTTTTAGGTTAATATATGTATTTTAATTAAAATTATAAATTTCACAAAAAATCTAAAACAATTCCACGTTATTTGAAGTTGTTTTTTTTTATCTGAGGTTTAGTTTTTAGTTCTTGTAAAATTTTGTAATTTGTTAGAGTTACTATAAATTTTATGATCTTAAACTGAAATTTCAGGATAAATTTATTTATTTCTTTATCAAAGATTCTTTTTAACACGATGGTCCAAAACGTGAAATTATTATACATAAATTGGTGCGGTGCGGTCTTGCATTTGCAAAAGGGTGATTGAGAATTTTTTTTACCATGGGAATTATCAATGCGGCGGCCACGTTCCATATTACTTTGTCGATTTTCAGTCTAATAATAATATCATGGAAGAATTATTTTATTTTGTGGCGTCATTGACGAGTATTTTTGGGTGCTATACGATATTGAGATTGGTATATAATTTTAAATTATATTTCGAATATATATGTGTGTGTGTGTGTGTGTGTATGTGTGTGTGACAAATGTATCGTGATCTTGGTGTCCAAGAAACCCTAATAATATGGACATTTTGTATACATGATATGCGGCATTAAATTCTTATAGTTTCACTAAGTCAATGACAGTGGACGGTGTTTAACATACCCATTGCACTTGCGAAATGGGGATTTATTTATTTATTTATTTATTTTATGTCGGCTGCTTGATTTAATTCTTGTAAAAAAAAACTTTTAAAACCGACAGGAAAAATTAATCAATACGCCAAATTAACAGCCAAAACCCTCCCTAAGCTTTTAAACCCTAAAACATTTCTTCAAAAACTAATCTATATTCAAAAATTTCATATTCAATTACATATATACAAGATTATAAAACAGATCACATATATTTTGTCTTTTCTTATAAGAGCTGGATATAGCTTAAATGCCAATTACTATCTTTAATATTGGACTAACTTTTTACTAGAAAAAAAAAAGGATAGCAGTCGCAATCACTGTATCATATTCCACTCGAAAACTAAATTTAAATACCTGAAATTTACAAAAATAAAATAAAATGGAATAGAGAAATAAAAATGGCTTCATCCATAACGAAAGGGTATGCTTGGACGGTTCCTCTCATTGTCTTGTCATGGAATGGTCACATAAATCTAGAAATCTTACACAGAGAGAGAGAGAGAGAGAGAGAGAGAGAGAGATGCGTTGTTGTTTCATCTTTAATTTCTTCGTGGACTTTCGTTACAAAAAAACATAACTAAAACTATAAGCTAACAACTAACTCATTTATGATATGTAGGAATTCAGTAGGAATGTGACCAAAAACAATCTTACTTCTTCATTAGTGAATTTCCCATTTTTTTTTTGCAATTTATAACAATTTATTATATATTATTCTATTTTCTTGGAATTGTTTTAACACTAATATGACCACAACTATTGTTCACTGTGTTAGATTTAATTAGTTTAATGTGCAAGTGTTCGTAAGAAGTAATATGCTAATTATGGGAATACATGTTTCATTAGAGATTCGAGCACAATATCTTTAGAAAATCTTTTAATTCAAGATTTAAAATTACAATATTTATGTTATAAGTATACAGTGGAAACCCTGCTTATCTAAAATAACCGAGACCAAACGAAAATAAAAACTCAGAGATTTATTTGTTTTATAACTTATATATTACTCGAATTGTTTTCATACGAAAACCATTGCGGTATTTTAAAATGTAAAAATTTTAATTTCTAATTTTGTAGTTATAAATTTAGTATCTCGATTTACTATTATAAATGATCCATTAGAAACATAATTCCGACCCGAAATGCAATAGGAATACAATTTTGAATACATTTCTCGTGGACTTTGAATATTCTGTGTTTACAAAAATATTTTGGGAAAACTATAATGGTCATATATATTTGAAAAGATAAACTTTAGTAAATTATGAACACGGAATTCTAAAAAATTATTATAGAGGATTTACCTTCCGAACCACCTCACCGACTCTCCGATTACTCTCGTTCGTACACAAGAACAGAAAGAAAAGAGACACGGCGATGTACGAGTTCGGTTACCGAGCCGGAGCTCGGGCCTACGTCTCGGGAAGAGAATCAGCAGTCTACTAGGGTTACAAACGGAGAGAGACTACCGGATACCGAAGAAACACGGGAACCAAAAGTTCGCCGCAAGAGAGAGAAGATTCGAGAAAAAAAAAACGCAAGTCTGGGAAAAAATCAGAAACCCTAGGGCTCATTAATCCGCCCTTACAAAAAGACCAATATACTCTCCGTAAGCCTCCGAGAGAATCCGAAGCTTTCGAACCCTCCGCTTCGTCTGGAGGCATTTGCTGAAGACCAACTCCAACAAATCTCCACATTTTTCTACAAAACCTGCAAAACAAACACGAAGCAAGCAAAACACGCATAACCCTAGAGTGCTGATCCTGTAACTTCTATGTAACTCCCCCTCTGGGCATGGTTCAAGGCGCATTGAACCTACCTTTCTAAAGAAGTCTTTACCGAGCGTGTCATAAACACGACTCAGCATGACACAACGCACCTAACCTACCCAAGTGAGTGTCCCCCGACACCTCCGCTTCCGAAAATTTACATAAGACCTAGACTAACATGACTCCCTAGACCGTCTAAATGACCCCCTCCGGTGAAGTTTATACCTCACCTATGGCCCCCCGAGGGTCACGCCCTGACATCTACCCGTCTCCCGAGTCTACTCCGACTGCCCTGAGACTAACCTTGAGTCATACTAGCAACCTAACTCTTGATCCCCGTAAAGATCAAGTGACCTATGACCTCTACCCGGACCCCACCTACCGACTAAGGTGCCCCCACGGGTTTTACCCCATGAAGACTCCCCCATTCGACCTATAGGAACTCTACCGAAGGCTCGGAACTCGTGTGAGCACGTGCTCCACCCCGAGAGGAAATGCCCCTAGCGCTACTACCCTCACCGACTCTACCCGGTGATCCGGCATTCCCTCGCTCGCCCCTTCCCCTGAGCTTCCTACCCGAGGTAACTCCACCTAGACGTGGAGACCACACCTCCGAACCTCCACCCGAGGAGTAGTCGGAGCATACTAAAAGTACCTCCGAATCATACTCCTGAACCGAGGCTACTACCCCCTTACCCTCGGTCTCCTCCTTCGCCCTCCGGGACCTACACTCCTTCTTATAATGTCTCTTCTTGCCGCAATACCAACACTCCACCTGGTCCTTGGCCTTCTTCTTCCCGCCACCCGATTTCTCGGGTTTGTCCTTGACCACTAATCCTTCCCCCGTACCCCTAGTAAGGGTACCCTGAGCTAGAAGCTCTAGCTCCTTCATCCTAGCTGCGACCTTCACCTCCTCCACCGAGATTATAGCTCGGGAATATTTAAGGACTTCCCTCAGCTGCTCGTAAGCAGGAGGTAAGGAGTTCAGCAGATAAACTGCTTGATACTCCTCCTCTACCTTCACATTTAGGCTGTGAATGTCGGATAATAGCTTCTGGAAAATGTCTAAATTTTCCTCTATTGTCCTAGAGCTGTCCATCCTAAACCCTGACACCCTCTGCATGAGGTACATCCTATTGGGGAAGGATTGCTCTATGTGCAACCGCTCTAGCTTTCTCCAGATTCTGAAGCCCATCCTTTCGGATATGACATTCCTTAGAACCTGATCCGATAGAGCAAGCACTATGAGATTCCTAGCCCTTCTACTCCTTTCTTGTCTCTCTTTGAGAGCCAGAGTGCCCGATCCTTTGCCTCGGGTCCTAATGACCCGGTGGAAAGGGCCGTAAGGCCTCTCGAATCCTCGGTTTTCCGAGCTGGAGTTTGTGGGCTCCCCTCATCAGCATCCTCCCACAAGGATGGATCATCCTCTAGTGTGTCCCCTAACCCTAAGATCTCTAAGCTAATGGACATCTTCTCTTTCCATAAGGAGAAGTCTCCCTTGTCGTCGAACTTCTCGACATCAAGGCCGCGATATAGAGGGGAAGACATCACTAAGGAATACCTAATCTCTAACCCGAGGATGCACTAGACCTACCTAGGACGACACTAAACTTGGGAATGACTAAACCGACCCTAGGAGCACCTGAAACCAGACCTAAGGAGTAAGACCGATCCTAAGAGAACCTAAACCTAGGTATTTTTCAACCTAACAGACCTAATAGATTCTAAACCCGCCTACCTAAGACCTGATTACGTCTAATCAGACCTACCCCAAGGCTAACACTGACCTAACCAACCTAGATCAGACCTAAACCGAGTCTATTATGTCTCCCTAAGTCCTAATCAGACCTAAGCCAACCCAATATTAACTTACCTACTCCTGATCAGACTTGAATTAACCTAATCAGATCTAAAC